AATAATAATAATAATAATAATAATAATAATAATAATAATAATAATAATAATAATAATAATAATAATAATAATAATAATAATAATAATGAGAGAGGGGAGCGTTGCAACTTACTTTGCTCCCACAGAAGGTTTACCTTGGGGGGTAGTGGGGGTGGGAGATTGGCAGGTTGAGTGTCCCTGGAAGGAAAGATAAATGACCAGGATCAAAAACAGGAAAATGGGAATTGTGGCCTGTTTTCTCCCCTTCCACCCACCTACAACGAATTGTTCTAGCAAAGATATTAATATCAGAGACGAATATGCATAGCTTGGGGTTGAACTGTGGGGTCCTTGGTGCTCTCTGAGCTTGGTGGGGGCGTTTTGCGGACATTTCATGACCTAACTAGGTAACCCCATCCGTTCCAGAAGAGCGTGGGGTTCGCTCTCTTCTTTATAAACCTCTCTCCCTTCTAGCGCTGATGACGTTCCCTAGTTGGGTCGTGAAAGGTCTGCAAGGAAACCACCAGACTCAAGGACTAAGGACCCCATAACAAGACATCATAGTTCACCACAGGTCTAAGCCCCTTCAGAATAGAAAGAAAACATTTATTTTCCAGGAGTGTTCATTTTTAAATCCCAAGCAAGAGTCTCTTCGTCTTAGGGACTAGTTCCTTGCTGGATCCTCAGATCCGTCTCTTCCCAGCTTTTGGCTAAACGACTGCGTGTTCTATAATTTGATATTTTAAAATTCTGGGAGAAATTGTTACCTGATTAGGTCTGGTCTGCTGGGACTGGAAGAAAGAGGAGAAAAGAACGGTCAGGGACGAGGGATTTAGAAGAGCGAGGATGATGAAACGGGGGTTATGCTCAGGAGTTTAGCTGCTCTTTGGCCCCTATCACCACATCATTGTTTTTATGAGCCCTTTGTTGCAGTTTTGCCATTGTCAAAGCCTCCTGTTGTGTTTCTCCACCTTGGCCATTTTAAGACAGGTGGGGTTCAACTCCCAGGATTCCCCAGCCAGCTCAACTGCAAGCAGCTAAGACAGAACTTACATATCCACATCATCGTAGTCCGAGTCGTCTACTTTCTTTCTGCAAAGATCAGGAAAACAAAGCTGAAATAAACTTTTATTTCACATCTCGGCAGCAGCTAAGGAAGCTGGTCCCTGAGACCCCTTCTGATACCCCTTACCTGCTGCTGAAGTCAGATCCAGGGTTGTCCATCGTACTGTAGCCTGGGTCTTGCATGATCTCCTGCAGAAGAAAGCAGAGACTTGAGGATTTCAGCCTTTGCACGTCCATCAGCCAAAAGGAAGGGAGGTGTCTCCAGCAGAATTAGAAGCCAAATTCCCCAACAGCCAGCCCAGTGGTATCTGGGGATGATGGGCGTGAGAATTCAGCTCATCTGGAGACCCCAAGTTGGCCAAGGCTGCCTTAGAGTTTGGTTGTGCTCTTTGATCAGTATCCCTCAACCTTGGCAACTTTAAGACGGGTGGACTTCAACTCCCAGAATTCCTGGGAGTTGAAATCCTTTCTTCCTAAAGTTGCGTGATGGCTTGGGAGTTCTGGAAGTTGAAGTCCACCCATCATAAAGGTTGAGAAACATGATCTAGAGGAAGATCTGAAGAAGGAGAAGAGATGAATGGGTCCGTTGTGAGATCTTGGGACATTGAATATGTGGGCTCCAGGAGTGGAGGACCAAGACTAGACCTTGAGGAAAATCTTTCTCAAAGGAAAGAGTGGAAGAGCCAACGAAGAATTACCATTGATTTTGAAGACCCCAGACTTTGTCTTCTTCGGAAGACAGGGCTGAAATTGTGTTCTGCAATGAGATTGGAAATGGGATTTAGAGCACTGAGAAGGAAGATAATAATAATAATAATAATAATAATAATAATAATAATAATAATAATAATGATGATGATGATGATGATGATGATGATGATGATGATGATGATGATGATGATGATGATGGAAGAGACCTTGGAGATCATCTAGTCCAATCCTCTGCTCAAGCAGGAGACCCTATACCATCTCAGACAAATGGCTGTCCAGTCTCTTCTTAAAAACTTCCAGTGTTGGAGTCTTCACCGCTTCTGGAGGCAGGTTGTTCCATTGGCTAATTGTTCTAACTGTTAGGAAGTTTCTCCTTAGTTCTAGGTTGCTTCTCTCTTTTGTTAGTTTCTATTCGTTGCTCCTTGTCCTGCCTTCAGGTGCTTTGGAAAATAGGTTGACTCTCTCTTCTTTGGGGCAGCCCCTGAGATATTGGAACACTGCTATCCTGTCACCCCTGGTCCTTCTCTCCATTAAACTAGACATACCCAATTCCAGCAACTGTTTGTTGTATGTTTTAGCCTCCAGTCCCCTAATCAACTTTGTTGCTCTTCTGTGTACTCTTTCTAGAGTCTCAACATGATGGAGGTTGCAGAGACCAAGCAGCCATGTTATTTTTCCCTAATGGGGTGAATCCACTTAGATCAGCTGGACAGGTGAGCTTTGAATGAGCGAGAGTGGGCAACCATACCCTGGGCACCAGCGTATCCTGGAGAAGTCACGCCTTGCCGCTGACTGGAGCGTATTCTTCGGGGCACTGGGGGTGGAGGCAGCTGCAGAAGAGAAGAGAAAAGAGAGGAGAGGAGAGGAAAGGAGAAGGAGGAGAAGAGAGGAGAGGAGAAGAGGCTTGTTAGAGGGGTGTGTTAGGGCTTCTATGGCTGTGTCCCCCACCCTTCAGTTCTAAAGGAGCCCTTATTATTGCTAGCCCCCCAAAACACCCTTGAGTTTGACTTGGGCAAGACAAGAGAGACCTAGATTTATGGATGTAGTGTGGTGAGAAAAAAGTAATAGCCTGGACAATTTTCCCCCATCTTCGTATGGTGATGTTGCTATTCTGGATTAGGACAGGAATGACTTTCACGAGAAAATCTGGGACAGTAGGATACCCAAGGAAGGCTGAAGCCCTGAATGGGTCCTAAAGATCAGCTGCTTCACTGTAATACTTATTATGGCTTTGGGAAGAGAGGAAACTAACTTCTAATTACAGGCAGACCCTGGAGAATGGTTTGACATGTTTCTCTCCAGCTGGCCCAAAGAGGTCTCCATAAAAGTTCACAAAAACGTGGCCTCTCGTGTCAGGAGAAGATGGAGAGCTCTCCCTGAACGTCAGACCAGAGAAATACAGGGACGACACACATGCTCAGCTGTGGACTGGAGATGAGATGAAGGTGGAGTCACAAGGACACCTCCTTAGAGAAGCCTGGCATCTTAGAAGAAGCTGTTAGAGGTAGGTGTGGAAGGGTCCTAAAGCGAAGAGTCCATCTCTTCCACTTTTCCAAGCCGTATCTCTTTGCTCTCACCTCTTGGTCCTCTTCTTCCGTCTCACCTCTGGGGAGCTGGTCAGGATTGTGGACTTTCTCCAAGAGGTCAAGGGTCAGGCTCTGCGTCAGCCCTGCCTGGGTTACAAACTGGTGCTGGGAAAAGAAAGGTGGAGACGGTTGGGCTCCAGCCTGGGGACTGGAACGAGAATGGAAGAGGAAGGGGATATTGTATGTATACAAGTAGTCCCCGAGTTACGACCATTTCTTTAGCGTCCGGTCAAAGTGACCACAGCACTGAAAAAAGTGCTTTGTGACCCTTTTCACCATTGTAGCATCCCATGGGCCGCATGATCAAAATTCAGAGGATTTTATTTATGACGGTCGCATGTCCCGGATCGTGTGATTCTCCCTTTTACGACCTTCTGACCAGCCAAGTCAAAAGGGGGAAGCCAGATTCACTTAACAACCCTGTGATGGACGTAACAACCGCAGGGGTTCACTTAACAGCTGTGGCAAGACAGGTCGTAAAACAGGCCAAACTCACTTAACAAATGTCTCGCTTAGTGACATATATATTGGGCTCAATTGTGGTGGTAACTCGAGGACTGTCTGTACTGTAAGCAGACATAGAAAATTGAATGTGGTTCCTGAACGGTTGGAAAATTGCCCCTCGGGTCAGCTGGCCCTGGGGGGGGGCTTTGCTCCCATCTCTGCGGAGAGCCTGTCCTGGGTAGAGATGGGAGGGAGAGGTGGGCTTACTGACCGTCAGCATCTTGGAGGCGCTCGGCCGTTTCCTGGGACTTTTGGTTAGTGTCACCTTGACAAAGTTGTGGAAGGCTGGGGACCTGTGGAGACAGCAGCGGGAAAATGTCTGGAGTTGTAACGTAACTGGTGCTTAGCAACTGCCTTGTGCAGTAGTGGAAAATCTGGTGGTCGTACGTCGAGGGTTACATGTATGTCAAACCTCTAGCATTCTGCCCCAAAGGGCAACACTAAGCTTAACATCAGGCCAACCATCAGAATTAAACCATATGTCCTGGTTCCGACAGATGAAACTCTTCAAAGAACTTCGAGGCATTGTTTACCTTAAAGAATCTTTATTCGAGTAGCATGGCATCGGCACGTACATAGGCAAAGCCAAAATCTGAATTCCCCTCCCCTGAGCACATAGTATCAAAGCACAATTCCCTCCTCCAGTTAACCGTCATAAATCACATTCTCCAGTTAGTTTGAAATGCAGGCTTTCCCTCCAGTTCTTCAACCCGCCATTTCTTATCATCTCTTATTTCAAAAAACCTTGGTTCTCACACTAGTTACAGTATTGTTATGTCTAACTAAACTCCCATACACGTTCCTCCATCCCCCCAGTATCATCTAATTCTAACTCTTGATTCTAAGAGTAAAACATAAGAAGGAAAATGGCTGCAAAGTAATAACATCCGATGTTAGCAGCGTTGACACCATACCTCAATCAAAACACTGCCAAACAAGCAAACAGTAAACAGCCCCAAAAAAGAACCTCAAAGACCACTCCCAGCAACACTGACAGGGCCAGCCACTAGAATATAAAGTGAGAGCAAAACCCACTCCTTACTAGCACTGATGATGTTACCTAGTTGGATAATGAAATGTCTGCAAGAAAACAACCACAACCACACTCAGAGAACAGCAAGGACACCACAGTCCTATACCACCACCATCACCACCTCCTCCTCCTCCTCCTCCTCCTCCTCCTCCTCCTCCATTCTAACACTGATGATGTTACCTAGTTGGGTCACGAAACATCTGCAAGAAAACCACCCAGCTCAGAGAGCACCAAGGACCCCACAGTTCAACCCTGGGCTACAAATATTCTCCTTTATTGAGACCAAGTAAAGATCTGTCACCACTTCTGAAGGACCCCTTGACCGTACTCACCACCGGGCCTTCTCTTTTAACTTTGGAGGCTGGTAGCCACTCTTGGTCATCAACACCAGCACCCTGCAAGGTGGCACAGAGAGACAAGACACAGATTAGCCGGGCAACACTCTCTTCCTTAAATCGCCTCCCAATCCCTGGGGATCAAAGAGAACGAACAGGACACGCCGAGTCACCTTACCGCAAAGGATGCATATCAAACATGGGGGGCTGCAACTCAGCCAGCTCAATTGCCATGATGCCCACCGACCACACGTCACACCGTTCGTTGTAGCCCCCTTTCAGTTCCACAGCCGCCACTTCCGGGGCCATCCTAGAACAGAGGGTGGGGGACTGTATCTGACATTCAGGCTCACCACCCCCCTTCGAGACCCTCTTCGGTCCCATTAGGAACGCTCTCGGGGTCTTTTCCAACCTGCTAACCAGGTTTATCAAGATTACAAGCCTACAAACCAGGATTTCCCTCTCGCTTCCTGGCTCACCAAGGCCCCTTGCAGACTGGACAAGGCTATTGGATGCGTTTGTCCCTGAAAAGGGAATGGTGTGTGTGTGTGTGTGGACATCGGCACACACAATGGGGGCCCTTGGTTAGCATTATGAATTTTGGAACAGATTCTGAAATGGGGGTCCCTTCCGATTTACCCCCCTTCTCCTTGGCATCTCGCAGCTCAGATGCCCATCGGGCCAGTGGGTGGGTTTTCTTTACCAGTAAGGGGTCCCAATGAAAGACATGCGGCGGGCAAAGGTGGCACTCAGTTGAGCTGAGATTCCAAAATCAGCTGGGGGAAGGAAAGGAAAGAAAAAAAGGAGAGGTTGAAAAAGTCTCTTTTAGTAGATCTGCATCGTGCACTGACTTTTCTAGGCTGCCCTATCTATCATTCCTGGTAAAATACATGGGAAAATCCCATTGGAGGAAAATTCCCCTTAGGGTTAGGGTTAGGTCACCATGAACTCATAGAGCAAAATGGACATCGCCAACAAACTCGGAGTGCTTGGGTATGGTTAGGAGGACATTGACTTTTCTAGGCTGCCCTATCTACAGTATGTTTCCTGGTAAAATACATGGAAAAATCCCATAGGAGGAAAATTCCACTTAGGGTTAGGGTTAGGTCACCGTGAACTCATAGAGCAAAATGGACATAGCCAACAAACTCGGAGTGCTTGGGTATGGTTAGGAGGGCACTGACTTTTCTAGCCTGCCCTATCTATGTTTCCTGGGAAAATCTATGGGAAAATCCCATTGGAGGAAAATTCTATTCTATTCTATTCTATTCTATTCTATTCTATTCTATTCTATTCTATTCTATTCTTAGAGCAGAGCCCTAATGGATAGGATCTCGGGGCTAAACGGTGCCCATGAACTCTCCAGATGGGGTGGCTGAGGGTGCACAGCCCGAGAAACGAAGGTGGAGAGAATGCACCTACCCAGTTTTACTTCCCCCTGGTCGTTGAGAAGAATGTTCGCCCCCTGTAAGGTGAAGAACAGGAAAAGGAAGTGAGCACCACTCAGAGTGAAATGGGTTGTGGCTGACGTGCAGAGGGTAACAACTTCCCTAGCCCAACTGGACAATCCTCCCAGTTCCCAGGCTCTATGCTGGCTGAGGAATTCTGGGAGCTGAAATCCACAAGTCTTAAAGTGGTCAAGGTTGCAGAGCCCTGGCCTAGCACTTGTGCATGATGCTAGCTTAATTCTGCAAGCTAAATGAAATCTGTGGTCTTCAGCCACACACTATGAAGTGGAGAGAAAGTCTAGCTGTTAAAAGTAGCAGCAATAGCACTATGACGGCTCCCTTTCTCTGTGTCAGATGCGAAGAATCCGGGACTGCACTTCCAATGAAGATGATTCATCTAGACAAGAATTTAGCCGACTAACGGTCAGCGTTAAATTGGCTGCTAGATAACAGTAAACAGAATTCAAGAGGGATTAGATTTGTGGGAATGTAAAGACTGCAGGCTGATTCCTCTCTTGACTCCACCTCCACTCTGCCTGCTCTTCTCCAACACTCTGCCCTGGAGACAGACGGCAACATAAGAGAAGAATAAGCTTCGTAATTCTTACCTTTATATCTCGATGGATCTTGCCTTGGTTGTGAAGATAAGACAAACCCTAGGAGGATGGGGAGGGGGGGGGAAAGTTCACATCCAATTATCTTGGAAATACAACTAGCATAATAACATTTAATATACGGGTAATTCTTGACTTATGATCACCATTTGGACCAAAATGTTGGTTGCTAAACAAGGGGGTTGTTAAATTAGTCATGCCCTACTTGATGACCTTTTTTTGCCCCGATTGTTAAGCAAATTGCTGCAGTCGTTAAGCAAATCACATGTTTGTTAAGTGAATCCAATTTTCGCCACGGATTTGGCTTTTTGGAAGCCGGGCTGGGAAGGTCATAAATGGCAATCGTGTGGCCCCGGGACGTGCTGGCTGCCAATGCTGGCTGCCAAGGGTTCAAATTTTGATCAGGGGACTGTGGGAATGCTGGGATGGCCCTAAGTATGAGAACTCTCAGCCCAGCCCACCTCACAGGATTGTCGTGGGGAAAATAAGAGGAGGAAGAAGCATTAGATATGTTCACTGCCTTGAATTACTTATAAACTAATAAAGGTGACATCAGCCATTAATAAACGAATGCATTAAGTAAGGATTGTGAAGGATTTGCAGGTATGGGAGGGATGTTAAAATTTGGAAAACAATTTCCCATATTTTCTGGCAGTTTGCAAGTCAGTAAATTTAGGCAGCTTGTTTCGATCCCGTGCATACAGGTAGTCCTCGGCTTAACGACCACAATTCAGAGAGAGTTATAAAAAAAAAAGGGGTAGCTGCTTTGCGCGTGGGATATTCCAGGTTCAAGCCAAACTTAACACACTTACACGCTTGGGCAAAATGGCATGGGAGAAGGCGTATCAACAGATTCCTACTCACTTGTAAAGTTTCCCGGCAGATATAAGCAATCTGTCGCTCAGACAAGGCGCCCGTGACTGAAAAAAACAACAAGGAGACAAGTGAATGGCACTTTTCATCCTCTGAGAATTTCGCCAGTGCTCGGCGCCATGGCTGATATTTTGAACGATCTGGAAAAATGTAAAATTAAGTTGCCGGAGAAATTAAGGAATGGCAATTCCGAAACAGGCTGGCTCAGATGCTTTCCGCGTCAAGAAGAGGCACTGTCTATCCTGAACTCTGAAATCATTTTTCATGGTGTGTTTAAATAGTTTGGATTTTTATTTATAGAGGTTTAGATGGCCGTGTGTTGTCTGGGTGACTTTTAGTAAAACAGTATCTCTAATTATAAAAATATAAAACTTTGGCAAGGTTGCCCTTTGAAATGTACTTGCCCTCTTCTGGCCTATTTTTCTTCAAGGACCTATCTTTCTTTCTTTCTTTCTTTCTTTCTTTCTTTCTTTCTTTCTTTCTTTCTTTCTTTCTTTCTTTCTTTCTTTCTTTCTGGAACTTCAATCAATCAACTAGAACAGAGTTGGAAGGGACTTTGGAGGTCTTCTAGTCCAACCACCTGCCCATAGCAGGAGACTCTATACAAGTGACTGTCCAATCTCTTCTCTAAAATCTCCAGTGATGGAGCACCCATGATTTCTGGTGGCAAGCTGTTCCACTGGTCAATTGTCCTCCCTGTTAGGAAGTTTCTCCTTAATTCCAGGTTGCTTCTCTCCTTGATTAGTTTCCATCCATTGTTTCTTCTCCTGCCTTCTGTTGCTTTGGAAAATAAGTTGACCTGCTCCTCTTTGTGGCAGCCCCCCCAAGTACTGGAATACTGCTATCATATCCCCCCCTAGTCCTTCTTTTCTCTGGGAAAAGGCAAAAAGAAGGAAAAGTGAGAAAAAAAATAACATTTTTTTTAAAGGAAAAGAAAAATTAGCGCTGGCACTCGTTCTGTCGTTGATCTCCACCAATCAAACTCCACTTGTGCTTTGAAGATTCTTCATCCTGCTGATATCGCCCGAACCATCAAGGCAAATAAAATAAAAAAATTTGCCTAAATTGGCTAATTCCGGAAGATTCTGTATCCTGTATCCTGCATGCCTTAGAAAACAAGCAAATCTCCCCCCCCCCACCTCCATCTCTGCACTTTGCTGGGATGCGTGTGTGTGCCAGCTGACTTTTGATCTCCACCACGAGAGATGCTACTGCAGGAAGAAGTTGAAGCAGCGGCAAGAAGCATTAAAAATGAAAACGAGAAAGCAGCCTTGTGGTCAGCCTGTCCTCGTTCGAGATGTGCTTGTGACGCTCCTCTGCCCCCACTCAGAAACCAGAAGGCGGGGAAACTGAGGCTTTAGTGACCCACAACAGGGACCCTTGGGTTAGCCTTTATCTAAATGTCGTCCTCCTTGTTCCAAGTGCTTGTTCCCACCACTCGCCTGGCCTCTTCACCCTGCTGTGAACGTAGTAGCTTCCCGAAACCAGAAGTAATAATAATAATAATAATAATAATAATAAAAAAGTTGGAAGGGACCTTGTAGGTCATCGAGTCCAACCCCCTGCCCAGGCAGGAACCCTACACCATTTCAGACAAATGGCTGTCCAGTCTCTTCTTAAAACCCTCCAGTGTTGGAGCATTCACCGCTTCTGGAGGCAGGTTGTTCCACTGGTTAATTGTTCTCACTGTCAGGAAGTTTCTCCTTAGTTCTAGGTTGCTTCTCTCCTCGGTTAGTTTCCACTTGTTGCTTCTTGTCCTGCCTTCAGGCGCTTTGGAGAATAGCTTGACTCCCTCTTCTTTGTGGCAGCCCCTGAGATACTGGAACACTGCTATCATGTCCCCTCTCATCCTTCTGTTCGTTAAACCAGACATCCCCAATTCCAGCAACCGTTCCTTATATGTTTTAGCCTCCAGTCCCCTAATCATCTTTGTTGCTCTTCTCTGTACTCTTTCTAGAGTCTCAGCATCTTTTTTACATCGTGGTGACCAAAACTGGATGCA